TGATGGCGATATCTTCGTTGAATGAACTTTTTCCCTTTTTTTTAAAAACTCGGTTACATGGAATGTTCTCGAAACGGCCAGAACTTTCCGATCGACCCAATATTTTCGTTCGTTCGACTCGTTGAACCCTCGTTGCAGACGAACGAGGAGTTCGCGGGATCGGAGCACCGTCGAACCGAATGCGAACGTCGATGCCGGACGATTCGTCGCTCGAGGAGAAAAATCGTCGAAATGCGAATCGTTCGTGAGGTGTCCAGACTTTCGGATGATGATCGTCGTCGTTCGAATTCTCTAAAGGATCTCTTGCAAGTCTACGACATTCCTCTCCCGAATGGATTTTGTCGGTCGACCGAACCTTGGGTCGTCCCTCGTGGAGAGACAACACTTTTTCCGATTCTTCTTCCCATTCTACTGTCAAACCACGACGTTATTTGTCACGAAGAAAAATTGGTTTCATTTTGCGGTTTAGACCACCGAGGACTTGCACCGTGCCGATCCTTCATTTGCACCTTGCCGATCCTTCACTTGCACCTTGCCGATTCCTGCGACAGAAACGAGTCGAAAAAAGCGTGAGTGCTTCTATTTCCAACGTTTCCTGGAACGCATGCAACGAGCGAGGTGAGATCGTTCTCGTCTCATACCCTCCGAGGCATTTCATTCTTTACTTCCGTTCCAGTTCACTGAAATAGAAAGAGAGAAACGAGGTCGTTTTCCAGTATAACGCAGGGAATTTTGGATCGTAAATCCACAATTTCGAAAAACCTGAGTGGAGGAAAAAGCATCGGGCGGGACGTACCCGCCCATTTTTCCTTCAGTTTTTCCTTCCCATTTTTCCTTCATGCCCTTGTCGAGACTCAACGAGGAGACGCTCAATGATCGGATTATTAAGCTGCGTTGATACAGCACTGTATGAAATAGGTACTTACTTGTGCATAGTAGCGTAAAGGGGGAAGGGAAGGGGGATTCGGGGTGGGGGGGGGGGGGGGGGGGGTCGATCAGTTTTGTAAAGGGGGCTCAGAATAAAATGTTGGGCAACCGCAGGTATAGCCAATGCTCAAATGCATTGCCTTCCAGGTCTTTTCCTTGGTGAAAGTCTGAGCAATAGCAGCACCAAGAGTGAAAATGTTCATATCTACTTAGAGCTTCTCCTAACTGTGGTGGTCATTGAGTTTTGACATGATTTCTCCAAAATTCACCTCCCCCCCCCCCGGTTCGATTTTTCAGCGTGGAATAATTCTACTCCGTCGTCTACCGATTGTCTACCATTTTTTGCCGTCTGATCAGAACGAGCATGTTGTCTCTGTCGGATCATCGGAGAACTGTTTCTCTACATCCCGATATTTGGATGATCGCATCCAGCCATTTCTCAACGTGCTGGCAGCTCCTGTAGAACCCTTGATGCGATGGGGCCTCTATTCTGCCCTCCAGCCGATCGCGTACAGTGACCCTGGCTGGCCCGATGCGGATGCCGACAGGACAAAAGGTCACGTATGAGGCCTTCTGGGCCGGATCCATTCCCGCAACCGGACGCTTCTTAAAGACCCTTCTTCCCTGAGGAAGGGATTGCTCATTACGGCAGAAAAAAAGTATCGAGTAAGAAGGAATGGTCCCAAGAGAATGGTCTTACAAGAACCTAACAGAGGGAAGAGACTCATCCGATTCTCGCTTCCCTTTTGCTCTATTTTTCTATTGGCCTCGAGTGCGTCATTACAAGATACATACAGTTTTTGAGAAGAAAATTAAACGCGTTTTAGGTCGAAGACCATCGTGGTGTCTGACTTTTTCATGCTCGCATATACTTTAATATGAATGGAATTTGCTAGACGATTTTCCTTCTGATACTTTAAATTAATATTACTGTTGCCTCCTTTTCAATGCCATCAGTCTTGATGCGAGGTCAAACTACTAAGGTATCGAGATCACTCACGAAAGGCGAGGTGTGCCTATTATGGCTTGGGATGGTTTCCTTTCTTTTGAGAGGAGGGCTCTCATTGGCTGGAGTGCAGGATAGGGACCCCATCGTGCCGAGGGTTTGTACACAAGCGTCCTGGCATCGAGGTCTTGTGATGAGTGGAACCGATCTCGTCATGTGGGAACAGGGAATTTCGCAGACGGACCAAGGTTAGAAGACCTCTAGCCGAGACATCGCTAGTTATCTCAGTTCGTTACAGAATAGAACATGGAAGCGAAATCCATCCGTCACCGTTCGACTTCAGCAACTCCTAAATATGACGTTCGTGTACGCTATGCGTGCGAACGCGATATGTGGTCTTAAGAGAAAAGAGATGCAAATTCTAGCCACTTGCTCTTCCAGGTTAGCAGACAGACAGTATCTCGGTGTTTTCGAGAGACTTGAGTTGAATCCTATCGTCCTACTCTGTGAGAAATGTCACGATATAGTGTCTCATTTGATGCACGTTTATGTGTCATGAGAGAATTTCTTCATATTGGTCCCGATAAAACGTGTCATGGGAGCGGAGACATTTCAACTTGCCACGACACACCATATTGTGTCATGGGACGAGAGTCGCTTCGGTCTTGCGATTTTGGACAGCAATTACGGAGGCGTCGGGGCGAAGATCGAACGAGAAGCCGCGCAGCGTTCTGATGCGAGATGCGGTGGAGGATCGGTGGTGGTATCGTCTCTTTCGATTTCGCGTCTTCGTGAGGCGATCGAGGTCATTTCTGGCAGCACGAGTTTCTACTACTCTCTTCAGGGCTCCCTTTCACCGAATGCGATTCCTTTTGGAGTAGCGGCCGCCGAGCATTCGCATTAGCAGGCGATAATGCTAGGAGGGAGGGAGGAAAAGCAGGATGTCCCTTGGGAACCCCCGCCCAAGCCCACGTTCACTGGCCATATTGGCCGGAGAAAACTTCGAATATGAAGGGCACGCAAGGGTAGTATGGAGTGCATGAAGGAATTCCCGGACCAGACAAGAATGGGTGTGGGTTTCTGCAATTGTTCCAAGCCGAAAAACCGAATCGGATGGGTTCTGAGGCGAATTTCGTAGAGGCGATGTCACCTTTTCTGATGTTAGGGGTAGTTTTATGCATCGAGAGGATATGCATTCCGAGGGCATCATCATTTTCTTTGTCGACGCTGCGAGTGCTAAGAATTGTTATCGCCAGGCATTGCAAGACTTTTGGAGGGTAGTTCATCATCAGTACCCAGAGGATAATGCAACGCCCCGCTGCCATTGCCGGGACTGCGGGATTAATATCAGGATTTTGACGAGGTGTTGAATAGGATGCTGGACAGCCACTGGTATCAGGTCTACGTCATGGCCGGAAATCAATCTCATGGATGATTCAAATAGAAATGAGGCTGTGCTCCAGAGAAGCGGAAAGTAAATTCGCGCAAGCATTCAGGTATACATGTGTCGAAAGTCCCCTTGCTTTTGCTGCTTTTGTGCATGTGCGAAGACTGGACCGAGGAATTTCTCCCATAAGTCACCCTCGTCGTCGGAGAAGTGAACGCGGAAGTCGGCGGAGAAATGAGTCCGAGGGTGCCGAATACCCTTCTTCGGTCCCTCTGATTTCCCCTTCTCCGTGTCTTTCTTCTCGGGAATTCCAGCGCCCTCGGTCGAGAACAACGAGGGTGATCGGGTACCAACAAAACCTGAAAATCCCGCTCCATTCGTGGAGGCCTCGACTCTGGGTATTTCCCTGGACGAAATCGGGTTCCCTTCCTCCTTTCTCGGGTTCTCGGATGCGATGTCCTCCGTGAAATCCGGCAAGTACGTGGGATACACGGTCTTCCTCTTCTTACACGTCGTGACGTCGCAGATGGCGAAGCAGAAGCTGCAGGGGCAGTCGCAAGGCGAGTATGAAGATGGGTCCACCTCCGACGGTGCGAAGTCGTCCAAGGTCACGTCGGGGGATCGAGATCGAAGCCGTTTCACGTCCCTTCTCTTTTTCTCATCTCTGCCCGACTGACAAGAGCTTTCAGCTCTCGCTCCGACACGGTGGGCATTCGGTGTCGGGATCTCGTGATTTCTGTCCTCGGCCTCACTCGAGTTCATTTATTTCTGTTCCGTCGACTTTGAAGTCGATAGGCACAGTCGACAGTGAATTGCACGCAGTTGTGGTTTCCTAAATGAAGAAATGAGGTCAGTGGAAGCGAGAACGACGAATAGGCTATATTTTGGAGCAACAATGACACCTTCAAATTTCCAAAGACTAGGTCGTGGGATGCATGTCACAAAAATCATAAAGAGCTTAGAAATCCCTGGAATTTTTTTTCTCACGTGAGCAGTAATGGAAGTCCGACATCTATTTGATCATCTCCTCCCCAGCGGTAGCATGCATTTCTCAGCTCCGATCTCATAGAAATGGACGTCCAGTCTGGATCAAAGGTGGTGCCTTTCATTGCCTCATAATTTTGCCGACGAGTCGTCCTCATGGGGGAGCTGGAGCGTATTGGCTTTGACCCCTGTCCCAGGTATATTTGCTCTTCCTTCGATTTGTTTGATCATTACCTTCTGATGTTTCCTATTGCGTAGGATCTAAGCATGAGATGTGCACGTGTAGATTCAAATACAGAAATCAGTATTTGAATCTATTGAGATACTAAACTTGGATTTCTAACCGACAGTCATCCTTTTCCCTGAGTCATTACTTGGAAACTGCTTGGCCGGATATCACTGGCTCCATTCAAGTATCTTCCACAGTCGATGTTTCCCCAATTCCCCAAACGAAGGATAAAAAAGGAGATAGAAAGGAGATATTGGAAGATCATTTCCAGACGCCTGACGCTTCACTGCTCTTTAAAAAAATTTTTTTTTGCATCAGGGTTTTGCCTCTCATCTTCTTAAGGGCTGCAATACTTTTTTATGGCTGTAAGACGGATATTTTGAGGTACTAGATTCTCGAAGACATGGATATTGTTGATCCCCATGACCTTTCCGGATTTCCATCGGCAGGAAAGGAACGCTGTGATACTGTGAAAGCGAATCTACTTCATTGAGAGACAGACAGAGAGGAAGAAACGGAAGAATGGATCCACAGCGAAAGCCAACATGGAATCAAAGGGAAGGGCTCTATCACAGTAAGGGAGATTGATTTTTTTTGGATTTCTCAGGTCGCAACGCAGGTGTTTCCCTTTTCATTTCACGTCCCGTATCTCCTCGCCTGCATTGCTGATCCTGTGATTCCGGAACACCGTGGTTTGTAAGGTCCTCTTCCACCTCGTCTGCGCCTCCCCCAGTTTTCCCAGCCATTGGCTCTGCAGATGAAAAATTGGGACGTTCGGCAGAGAATCACCAGGGAAGAATCACAGAGGAGGGCGAGGAGAAAGGCGATACGGGTACCTTGAGTTGTTCGGTGGAGGCCTGGAGGGTGTGTACGGCGATGATCTGCTGGAATCGATTTAGGGCGACGACGGCGAAGGAATTGGGTAATTCTAAGCTGGGGACGTCGTGGACGACGAATCGATCCAATGACAACGGCTGTCGATGGACGACGTAACGCATCGTGTCCCCCGAGGTCGGGATCGTTCGACACGAGGACGCCCAGTTCTCTGTTATGCTGGATTTCTGCATCATGGAAAATACAACAGTGGCTTTACTTCTCGATCCCTGTTTCAAGCAAAAATTCTACCCGCTTTGGGTCGCTAAGAATTTCTTTGCTTTATTGTGTTCTGTCACTTCATCTACGAGGCATAGAACAGGATAAGAGGAATCCCTCGTAACTCCAACAGAAAATAGCAAATTGTGCCAAAGGCTGCCTTATGACCCCAACAGATTGGAGTCTTACCTGGTACACCAAGGCCTAAATGTTGCAAATGCAATAAATGAGTTGCTACACTGTTTCATGGCGATAGCTCCATCGGAACTTTATTTATTTTTTACGTAATATATGTATGGACCACCTTTTTCTTCGAAGTTGCCACAGCATGAGGCTATTGTGGGATCAGTGGCGTACCCAAGGGAAGGGGTCTCAGGGGACTCAGGCCTTTCCCATGGCCTGGAAACCCTCAGCCCGCCCTTCCCCCTTCCCTCTCCCCCCCTCTTCCCGCTCGTCATTGAATTGCTTTACTGCTAAATCCTGAACCCCCCTCCTAAATTTCTGCTTATGCCTCTTGTAGGGAGTCAAAGGCATCATTGTGCAATTACGCTGTCTGTAATTGAAGTTGCAACTCCAAGAAGGATTTGAGCGACATCAATGAAATTGGATACATGAACTTCTTGAAGTGCGTCCTGAAATCGATTTGGGTTCCAAGGGGGTAGGATGATTCATCAAGGAAAAAGCTCGCCATACGCTCTAATGAAGAGGGGGTGGGGGACCTACTAATCGCCTTGAAGAAACACCCAGAAGGGGTTAATTAATGAAATGTGGAACGGGAATTCCTAAAGGTGTATTTTAAAAGTCGAAAGAAGTTTTAAGGTCATGAGATCGGGCGATACAGAGAAAACTTGTAAAATATCTGAGAGATCGGGAAAAAGGTTGGCGTCGCGGATAATGCCAGTTTCCTTATCTTCAACTCTCAAACCACTTTGTAATTGCGCGATTGCTTAGCGCAGGGGTCGGCAAGCTTTCACTAATTGCGGGCCGGATTAACACGGCTCTGCCCTATAGCGGGCAGGAGTGTATAATTAATCGTGGTGCTTATCTGCCCGGAGGAGAAAGGATCAGGTTTTGAAAAGAATAAATGAAAAATAATAAAATACATCACTTTTCTTGGCGTGCTTGGCTGGTGGATCCGGCCCGTAAGCCGTAAGTTGTCGGCCCCTGGCTTAGTGTCTTCTCGATGCAATCCTCATTTTCATCATTAGTATCATCGTGCAAGCTAAGCATCCCAATCAAGGGACATCAACCAAATACAAGAACGAGTTGGCGAAATTGCCTTCAGAGACGTCGTCCCGACAGGGTTTCCCAGTCTTAACCCTCAGCAAGAGCACAATAGCAAAGTGGCTCGTGGGAGGTATTAATAGAATAGGAAACAGGCGCTATCAGTGAAGCCACCCTCTTCCGCTCTTTCTCGGGCATTGAGATAGTTTTCCTGGTGTGGCTACACCCTATGACCTTTAAACTTTACACGAGTTTCTCGGCACCATTGGGACTACCTTTTCATATTTCATTCATGGACTCTTACTGCGTGTTTCTTTAGAGCTGTTACTATGCCTTTTAAAAGTGGTTCTCGGGCTTTCTTATAATGATGCTAACCCGCACCCCCCAAATGAATCGCAATGGCTTGGAATGAATCATAGGGAGAGCGTTAGAGCCAGCGATGAGCTGGGGGAGAGCAGGACAGCTCGTGTGGCCTGTCTGGTCTGTCTAGCTTATTTCGTTTCTTCGTCTGTCTGGCGTCTCCTGGGACATCCCAGTTTCGATCCAAAACTTGATTCACTCACGATGGCGCAAATGGGAGAGAGAAATGCGAAGAGGAACTTAGTCATTAATACAAGACTGAATTGAAATTTCGGTTTGTCGGCTGGAGAAGTCAATCAAGTTAAGGAAATTAGAAACTTCATAGCGGAAGAATGGTGACGAAAGTTTCAGATAGGATAAAAGTGTGACAGATATCAGTTCTTGTGGACACGCGACGTGTCTCACGCTTGTTGTGTTGAATTTTTGATGAACTGAGTGCCATACTGAGTGATGAACTGAGTGACCGAACAATGAGATCATTTTCGTGATGGACAATGCTCGAGCGCACACATCATTCCTCGATACCCAACCCGCTTCGTTAGTTTTATTCCCCACAACAGTCCCTGGTTGAACCCCATCGAGTTCACGTTATCATCCTTCAAAGGAGAAGTGAAGAGGTGGATTGGTGCGATCCAGGCTAATTGCAGATTGCTAACCTGCAAATGGCAGCAGCAGTGGGGATGCCTCTAATGAGATATCAAAATCAAATGAAAAGCATCTGCAGAGTCAATACGCAATGCCTACGCAGAGGCCTTATACAGAAACGTATACGACCATTATTTTAATGTATCAATAGTGCGTTCGCCAGAAACCCCATTCACGAATGAAGGCATTTCACTTTTCGATTTCCTGCCGTCTGCATTTTTCTTTGCCGAGGTCTGACGCGGCCAAGTGATCTCTTCGTTTCACTGTATGGACTCGAAGAGGACGAAACCGAGACAGAACGGTCAACACTCGTTCCCATCTCGTCCTATTCTCCCCTACTTCATGAGCCCCTGCGTGGTATTTGGGACATCCGGGTTGCCTCCATGACAGGTATGCCTGAGAATCACCTTCAAAAGGTATATTACTCTCCACCTTCTTTAAATGTGAGCGTTTGCCAGCTTACTCAGTGAAGGACTGCCTTACTCCCTGGAAGCTCCGATCAATTTCATGGCATTACTAGGAGTTCATGAACTTAATTCTATCAATATCCTTTAACTCCTTGATTTTACGATATATAGTGGGCGGGCAGTGCATTCAGAAACTTTGGTACTTACATATCTCATGAACACCTATCGACTTCTGAAAGTATTTAAATGCAATGAGTCATGAGGAACACCATTCCTTTCAAGTAAAGCATAACAAATACGGTTAAAATTCTCTCAGGAGAATGGAGTGCCGCTGATTCGATTGTCAGTTTGCGTGTTTTTGATCTTGTTCTGTGAAAAAAAAGCTTCATGCGAAGAAACTGCTAAGTCTTTTCACTGTGTCGATGAAAGCAAAATTATTTGATAGAAGCCTTCGGCGAAGCTATCCTTCGGCAGATTTGATTGGCGAAATTCCTGCAAGAGTAATTGGAATCTGTAAACTGAATCAAAGGAGAAAGAGCGTTTCCCAACGATATCAAATTCACCGTGACGACGAAACAAAATTTTGAGCAATGAACGTGGAAAATGAAGGAGCTATATCCACTCAAGAAGCTTGAGGGAGCGCTCAGCTTTCTTTTTAAATGGGATATTAATCAATGCCGTTCCCAGCTTCCTCGTTAGAGCCAGGAGGAAGAGCTTCCATCAAATCCAGGGAGCGATTCCCCACCCTTTTCCACCCCTCCATGGGATTCGGTAACCGCTGGGAAAGGGTGGTCGGATAATGCATTATCGCAATATCCAACGACGGTGACAACATAAACAGGAGGAAATCACGCATGAAGTATGGAATTTGGTCTTCGTTTCCAAGGTTTAATCGCATTCTCTGGCTGTAAACAGTAATTTGGGATCACAAGAGGATTCTACCGTGTTATGAAAATGAAGGAATCCTGATCAACTGGATTATATTCCAAGAATAAGAGAATCCGATGTAACATGTCTCACGTCCCGTCAGGACATAACATATGGAAAAATCTTTTGCTCCAAGCTTAACAGTTCACTTCCGCCTGAAAACATTTACTGGAGAATAGGAGTTTCGACGTTCCGGGAGCAGAAGGCCTCCTTTTGGGAGGGGGGGGGGAAGAGAATATGCTTCAAAACGCATTAATAAAAAATGAAAAGGAGGAAATGAGATAAATTTACGAATAAAAAATATGAGAACTAAAAGTACTAAGGACTTTGTAGGAGGACCTTTTACCAAGGTAAAAAGGAACACCCATTTCAACTTATTATTATTATTATACAAAAGGTCTCTCGTCTTCTTCTGTGAATGGGGTCGTCTGGTTTCATCTTTTCGATGGCAAGGATGCAAACGTCAGAACGTCGGTTTCCGAAGCATCAACATGAATTCCCTCGGATTCCACTTAGTTAAGCTTTGCGTGACGGATCTCACAGTTAAGATTTTGAAGGATGCGACAGTCGAAAAAGTGCCACTTTCCTAAATGTAAAAGATAGAGCAGGATTCAATGGAACGGAGGATAATAAATTCTGGGCCAGGAGTTAAGCCTACGAGAATAACTAAGAATCTGCCATTCGAAGGTGACCAAAGGTGAAATATTACATTTAGCAAACATATCTATCAAATCCATGACTCGCTTCATAAAGAACTTGAATATTTTTCCAAACCGACCAGCCCACTTCCACCTTTAGTTTTCATATTTCATATTTTTTATATATTCTCTGGCCTGGTGACGATATATTCTCTTTTTTCATTAGAAAGAGAACTCTAGAAGATATTATCATACTCTATAACTTCACTGCTACCAACACTCTCGACCCAGGTTTAATTCTCTGCTCCAGTGAGTTCTGCTCTATACACTCCTACACCGAGGAAAATGACACTCCTTCGGCGTCACCGTTCTGCCGATCCTGCGAAATCCTATAGCCTATGATTTACCCCTCCCCAATGCGATACACCTCATTGCCTGCAGGGTGTAGGAAGCAGAATATAGGGAAGAAGACGTAGCGGTCTTCCGGAAGAGCGTCTTCCGAATGCGCCAAGACGTACACGTATATCCATTGCATAAGGCTTAGCTTTCAGAAATCCACGGGAATGACTTTTTAATAGCTCAGGACGCCTAAATTCTGGTGAAAGCATCCTGCCAACGAACGGGGAAGACGAGATCCCATTTAAAAAGAAAGCGAGGAATCTTTTTGATGAAAGAGCTGAAATGAGACCTGAATTGCCTTCTTTCCCTCCCTTCTACGGTCGCGCCTCTCCCCCGATCCCTTTCTTTCCCCATTTTTCCTTTTGAATTTTTGATGATCTTGTTCTCGTTGCTGTGGCTCGGTGTGGATTTCGTTCCTGTGCTTCTCTTTTCCGTTCTTTTTCTCATAGTTCTCATTTTCTCATTTTTGCTTTTATTTTTATTTGTTAATTTTTTACTTTGTTTTATCGCGTTTTATGCCCTTCCTCCTCCCCCCCCCAAATTATTATCTGGTACTCATGTTCTTTCTCTGATGGAGAATGAAACGCTTTTCATTGACCTGATCTTTTCTTTGTACGAGTTGATTACTTCCTGAAAAAGGAGGAACTGTGTCCGCAAACAGTCAAAGTTGAAAGTGATTCCTAAAGTGCGGTTTCATCGAACTCGTCCTTTATTAACTCAGTCTCCACGACAGGTCCCAGTAGCTGGAAAGGTTGCGGTTTTGCGGACCCTTTCGCATGCGTAACTTTTCCACTCTGAAGGAAGATTTTAAGAGGTGTCTGGGTACCGACTCTTGAATGACATTTTAGAGATTCGCAGTTGACTTATGTCAAAGAGCTCGATGCCACGCTCTTCCTCCTTCTCACCGCTTATCACTAAATGCTGGATGACCATCCCAAAGCAAGTCTTTCTCGAAACTGATATATTCCATTAAATGTTTAAACGTGTGTATACCCCACATTTAGCTTCTCTCATCCGTACCCAATGAAATTCGATGCCGCGTAGATTGCACGCCCACGCTTAATGGTAGGAATTACGGCCGAGGAAAACAACTGTGACGCAGGTAAGATAGATTAGAAGGGAAGGAAAAAGGGGCAAAGCCTGCAGAGTTGCCCGCTTCACCCCGAAACCATTCGGAGCCGTCCACATTGCAGGCTGAGAATATTCACTCCCATTCGTCCCAACCTCCTGATATAGGGCCTATCGCACAAACGCAACACGTTGTTGATGTATCGATCCCGTTCTTCTTCGCGAAATTTGACTCATAAATCTCTTGGATGTATACCTTTGTACTTTTGTGATTCACTTAGAAAGGCTAAAAAAAGGGCGAGGTCCTGCACATCGGAGGCCTTCTGCTTAAAAGCAAAAGGCCTCCGATGTGTAGGCCTCGAATAGGCCCCTTTCTTCGACGATGGAGGATTCTATCACTCTGGGGAAGCTTTCCGAGGTCTTTCATTTAGAAGGCCTACTTTTCCTCTCGTTTCTCCCAAAGCAGCAACAGATAAAACTGGAGCAACGAAGCACTCCAGGAGATTGCAAGTTCACCAACCGAAGCACGAACTCCATGTCAATCGAATGTCTATTGGAAAGAACTAAGCTCTGTATGTGTTGCTTTGGCAAGAAGGCAGGCATAAAAGGACACGAAGGGTAGTCTTCCATAAGCGAAGGGCGAAATAACGTCCTGGAATCCGAGAGACTTCTGCGAAGGAGCTAGACATTTTCCTAATTATCTCCTGATTATAAGTAATTGTGTCTAGTTGCTACATATGCATGTATCTAGTCGTTACATATGGACCGAGGGAGCACTCGTGCTCCGGAAAGGAGAAAGACGATGACGCTGAGAATGTGTGAAGATGGAAAGCGTGACGATTTGCATGAGAACGAGAATCTCGTGGAGGATCCTCGAGGGACCGTCTTCTGCTTAATGAGGGACACTCCGCGACGAGCGAGGACGAACCTTTTTGTGAAGTCCCTTCTTGCGCCGAGTGATGATGAGCATGTCATCGAAGAGGAGGACATACATCTCCTGAGGTTTCCCGAAGTCCAGGAGCATGAGCGGCCCTTCCAGGAGGATCTGCCGACGGGGGCTGACGATCAGGCGTTCGCACGGCTGCTTGTTCAGTGTCGACTGTTCCGTCCCCGAGAGACACCGTCATCAATCGTCCCACCGGTATCGCGTGCACTAATTACGAACGACGTGCATGATGCACGAGACTCGACGCATTACCTTGAGGAAGTCGGGGATGAAGGCCTTGGGGTCGAGATCCATGACGGTGGGCCATACGATGTTCCTTTGGATCTCCAAAAGCCTCTCGAAATTCTTGAGCCAGTTCATCTTGTCATCCAGTTCCCCTGGAAAGACAAGCCCCGACACGGGCATCAAATATCAGCCCCCTTAGGAAGGAAATTGGATTCCCCCTCCAGCTACTCGATATTCCGGGAAGAGGCGGAAACCGAATTGTAATGCCTTGTATTTCACCTACTGGTTTTTTCCCCCCTTAGATTGTTTCTCGTATGGATTGGGTTTCCAGCAACATGAACTCATCCGCGACAAAAGGATAGATGAATGGAAGACTTTCTGCGATTCCTTAAACTTAAATTTATGGAGTCACCCCTCTTTACCCTCTCCTTTCTCCCATGCGAATCGTATCGGGCCGGACCTTCCAGCTTCACAGACTGAATACGAGGCGAGTTTTTCTGCATGGTCCCTTGAAAACGGAAAAATTTCAACCACAGATTGAACGCTCGTTAACTCGAGCATGAATCCTCGGCAATATTCCACCTTAAACGTCAAGTACGTGGAGTTTCCAAGATCACAAAAAAAAGTTCGCTCGGATATAAGGCACAATAAAACATCTGAGGAAAGCTCAGATATAGAATTCCAGCGAAGTCTGAGGATAAAAAAAAATGTTTCTCTTCAGATTGGCCTAAATTTCTATTTTTGGAGTCCTCTCCATCAAAACTTGAACTCGAAAGTAATCCATACATCGACCGAGACAGAAAGGAATAATTAATACTCATAATGCTCATTTCCATCCGCGTACAGAGAAGTTTGAATTGCCACGGAATGGAACCTGAGAGAAACCTACGACGACGACCAATCTCGCGGAAAAGTCGACGTTGTGCGTCGATATCGAGCAGTAATATAAGGATATTTTTGGCATCGAAACCCCTCGCATGAGGAAAATGAAAGGCCGAGTCATATTGCAGCATCTCGACGTCCGCGATGAAGAGAAGGAAACGAGAGAAGAAAGCGGGAGTGGGGGCTGGCTGGATCTCCCCAAATCTCGAGGGGAGTGTCCGAACGGAGAAAGGAGAAAGAGGCCAAGGTCGAGCGTTGTCGAGGAGAATGAAAACTGCGCTCTTTCCCCCCTCCCACTTTTTTTTTCGTCATGCATTATGCGAGTTAGGGGGAAGGGGGAAGAGAGAGCCGGTTATGGATCTTCATCGACGTTCGGGAGAAGAAATAGAATCGCGGAAAATCAAATTCTATCGGAATACAAATAAGGGAAAAGAATCCGAGGGGGGTTCCATGCGTCACAGCTAAGATCACCGTCGCCTACATCTCGTTCGCGTAATCGTTCGGAAAAAGTCGACTCGTTCCTCGTCTTTGGGTTGCCAATTTATCCCGCTTTGATCGGGAGACTTTCTTTACCGGGTCTCCCGGTCGACCCGGAAAAGACGACCGGCCTTCTTCCTCTGGGTCCCATCGTAGAGCAAGAAAATTGCGTGCTGCCGACCCAATATCATGCGCCCTTCAAACGGACCATAAAGCCAGATCTCGGCCCGACGTAAGCCAGCGACTCGATACACCTCACACCGCATTCACATTCGAGAAAGAAGGAGACTGACTCAGAGAAGCCTCTTGCTTTTCGAGGATCTCGAGGACGATGGCCTTCTCGCTCGCGTTCTCAGTGCAGGATTCCAGCTCCTTCAAGATCAGCGGGAGTTTCGTGATGTGTTGCACCGGTGCCACCAGTAGGTCCGTCAGCTGCAGCTTCTTGCACCGGCGGTCTTTGTTGCACCACTGCAAGGACAGCACAACGTTCCATCTTCTTTCCCGTCCCTTATTTATCTTCATCGATTAATCGACTCACTCTTCAATCGATATCGTTCGGTCATTATTCATTCACTTACTTGCAATGCTTAATCATTATTCTATTAGATTGGGCTACTCTTCATTTCCTGACTGTTTTTTCTTTGCTTCAGCATTCGTAGTGTTTACTTTCCGATATCGAGTTACTGTGTGGAGGGAGTGACCTTTTCGAACTCGTTGAACTCGTTCTGCTTCCTCAGCGTCTCTAGGTAATTGAGGGCATTGATGTAATTGAGAGTGTAGCGATGGTAGGCCCCAGAGACCAACAACGCCTTCCCGCCCTGTTAAAAAAAAAAAACACGAGAAAGTGAGAGAAAAGGGGGGTCCGGTCGTGATGGAGAAAAAGGGGGAAGGAAGAGAAGGAGGAGGAGGAGGAGGAAGGGAAGCTTCGCTTCCTTCGAGAGGGGACATCAATAAATGATCATGGGAGGGATCGATCAGGGTATCAACCCTCTTTAAATGTTTCATCGTCGTCACCCACTCTCATTGCATAATTCCATTTCTCATCCGGTCGAGGACTTGCCTCGACGATGCTGGGTGTCCTGACAGCTGATGAGATTCGTTCTACAGTAAAGGGCAAATGCCGAGGCTCGAAAACGTTCTCGAAAGGGATAAGAATGTTGTCACACTCGATCTCAAGAAAGAAAGTTTCGCGTCTGGAAAGAGTATTTTGGACCAAGGAAATATTCTCGGGAGGGAAGAGAAGGGAACGGATTGCGAGAAATTGGACCTTAATGAAGAGGGATCCGAGGACATCGCCGACACGAACGTCTCCGCTCCGAGATATGTTCTCCTTCAGGGCGGCCAGGAACTCCTTGCAGAATCCATACGTCACCTGCAGCAGCAGGAATAACAGACATTACGAAAAGGGGATATCGCAAAAATGGGGTATCTGCATGCGACAGATCTTAGAGCATCTCGTGCCGGTCGAGTTCGACACGGAGAGGCTAGCATTCAGATGCTTCGGTGGTCTATTTCGCTTCGTTTCACAGCGGAACATGCCTGGTGAATGGATCTCATGAATTTTAAACGTTTACTCGGGAACTGCGCGCATTGTGTTCTTTGTTGGCATTAATTTCGTCGTGTTCCACTCGAGAGCGCCCATCGAATGGGGCGATTCCGAGCTCGACTCGACACAATAGAGAGGCTGGCACTCACACAACAGAGTTCGTCCAGGTTTCCGAAGAGAAGTTCGGGTTCTGCGAACATGGCAAAGCCTTCCACCTGGATCTTCTTCAAGGGTTCCATGAATACCTGGAGATGAAAGAGAGATCGTGACGGTATCGCGGCGAGGAGACAATAAGGAAGAAGATGACATGAACCAGCTCGGATGGCTGATGCGATCCCTTTCCCTCCTCTCCTTTCATAGATGTAAGCGGATGAGCTGCAGAGGGTAATCGAGCCTTCACCCGATCTTCCCTCATCATCCCCGACCACCTTCCCGAATCCAATTCCCTGTCCGCGTTCGGTGAAGGGGGGAAACAGTCCTTGAGGGGAAACCGGTTCTTTCTTCGTCTTTACGTCTTCTCTCGTCGTTTCGTTCTGAATCGCCGGAGATGGAAGGATGGGACGCGAATCGAGGAGGCCCCCCCACGTCTCCTCTGGGACTCACCCTCTCAAAGCTTTCCCTACGTATCTCAGATGGGATCTCGGAAAGGAATTGCTTTGTGCATACCTGAAGGAGTGGGTGGTACCGTATGCACTGGGCACTCAAAGCGAGACTCCCGATGGTTAATGGTTATGAGATGAGACGAACGCGCGGGGGCGTTGGCATTTCCTCTCATGCTAATTGTTGTCAGAATGCGTTATCGGATTTCTCCTACGCGTCTCTCCGTAGGGATACGATGGGTAAAAACATCTCGTTTTATGATTAGTTCCATCTCTCTCCTTTCGTCTCCTCATCGTTAATGCTTTCCTGGAAACAGAGCCGAGGCTCCCATGTCTCAATTTCCACCTGCGTTACGGGATCTGTCTCCTTCAATTCTCATTCGTCAATGTCAAATGATACGTGGCATTCCCTTTCCCTCTTTCCCGTGTGCTTTACCGAAACCTTAACGAGTACGTCTGAGGAATATCTCACGTTTTTCATGACGAGGAGATGATCGTAGAGGAAGGCGAGTTCGCTCTGAAAAAGATCCCACATTGCGTCCCGCCGTTTTTGTTCATTCTTCAGCGCCGGGTCCTCGGGAGATGCCGTAGGTTCTGGTGCGGTCGAGGACTCGGCACCGGTCGAATCCCCCGTCACAGTGGTGGTTTCCGTCCCATTGGTGGAGGGCTGCTCTGCGATCGTCGGCTCCGTCCGTCCCCCGGGCCTCTCGGGAATGTTGAGGAATAGGTTCTGGACGCTTTCCTTCCGTTCCAGCATCTTCTCGTGTCGTTTCAGACGAAGGGAGCCGAACGATCGCTGTCGCAGCAGCGTCTTTCGCGGTTGCTCGTGACGCGGGTATGATTTCCGCGGCGACGGACTTCGCTCTTTCTCCTCCGGCACCGACGCTGTCAACGTCATTCGTGAAGTTTACACAGTGATCATAAAAAACATCGATTTGGTGAATACTGGAGGCATTGACGCAGTGACATGCAAATATTGATCAAGTCGAAGAATAGTGAAGAATGAATCAGTTCATAAATTTTGCGAACAGAAGTGTGTATATAGACACGGACACCAAGACTAAAAAGAATACTCACCTATCTGTTTGGAAGATTCTGGGAGTTCCACTTGTGATGGCGGTTGGAGTTGAGGTTGGACCGGGGGAGGAGGAGGAAGTAGACAGGAAGATCCATGGATCGAGTGGACAAAATCGTGCCACGTCAGTCCTCGGTATTTAGATAGATTGGCATCTGCAAACTCTGTCGGCTTCAGCAATGCTAGGAATTCTTCCAGACCGCCGAAGCTTGTCGCCTTCGCCCGGTGGTGGCGCTCAAACTGCACATACAGGTAAAATGGCCCAAAAAAGGAAGTTAGGGGAGCCACATAGATACACCTGGGGGTCAGGAGATACGTTCACCAAAGTATACCATCCATTTACTACACTCAACGAACCCACATTTAGGGACCTTGAAATCATCCAAGGGGAGCTGAAGCATCTTCCATGAATATAGAAGCAAGCTGCATGCGATGATGTTATGCTCATCATCCTTCATTCCAATGTTTCTAATGTGCCTTCAAAATGCTTCGGAACAAAGTGATATTTCTCGAGTACACTACGATTCCACCGTGAACTGATGATAGACACGAGTAGAAGAAGATCCAAACGAGATAACATCGAAGGCTGCAGTATACATGCGTTGTACGAGCTAGTCGCAACCGAAACGCGGCATAACATAAATCAGCGTTCAGTAAGCGCCACTACCCAAACAAGCGGCAATGTTAAGTCGTCGTAGAACAAGCGCACCTCAGCTACATCCGTCACAGGTGAAGCAAGAGAAATGAAAGACGAAGGAAATAAACAAGGCTGGATCGACTTCCAAGGACTATTCCTCAGCGGTGGAAATCGAATCGTATCCCAGTCAAAAAACCGGAATGGAGATTATCTTTCATCAGATATCAGAGCCCTCGGTGTGAAGGGGCAGATGTAGCACGATACGCCAGGGTTGCAGAGTGGTCCTCTCGTATTTCAGGCATTGTACTCCTGCGTCCTGGTTCGGGGTTAGGAAGCGGTTGGTACAGGAGAAGCTTAAGCTGAGGGTGGTGCATCGCTGAAATGAGCCGAGAGCCAGTCTCGCACAAAGGGGTGCTCATTTTCTTTCGAAGTGGTAATGAACCTGAATGGAGTGCTTCAGCCAACTCATTAAGTCTCGAGCAACTGTCTCTCGTATGCTTTTGTGACGATTCCGAACTGTCTGAGGCCTCAATTGATTTTCCTAAAGTGATTTTCCTTCAATGCGTCATGGTGTGATAGCTTAGCACTTGTGCACTGGGCTTGGCACACAGCAGTGTTATTTGGAACAGTAACAACAGCTCGTTTTCCTCTAAAGCTACAATTTTGAGACGTTTCTGAGGAGAAGGCGACCGGATCCTCCGCTCAACCAAGTTGCCGTCTCAGTTAAGGAAGTCATCTTCCTTCCCGAGCACGTACTTGCATGCCTGTTTCGACTGTGAAGAACAGCCGTCTTACACATTACTACGCCGTTTTTGCTTTCATCCCTCGCTTTGAATGGAGAATTTCAATAGATGAATTCAGCTCTCTATGGTAGAGATGAGTGTCTCTCTTTACCGGTAGGTTTCGGTAGCATTAAGACTGTATTTCTCGCCCTGAAAACCGGAAGAAAAGCATAATCAAGTTTTAATATTTTCCTATCTCTCATTACGTTTCCACGTATCGATTTTCGTATTTACTTTCTTGATTTCTCGAGTTTTGTCCTAGTTAGGATTTGCAGCGATTGTGACTGCAGCAAAAACTGAACCACTGAAATTGAACCAGAAGAGTCCACTTGCTATTTTTCGTTAGCAGTACGATGAGATTGACGCGAACAGCATCCTCCCTCGTGAAAGCCTAGAGAGCAGGAGTTCCAACGGGAGCAGGTGCCACCGGCAGTTTTTTTTTGTCCTAACTGAAATCTCGCCGACGCTTTATAGGAGGATGGTACGTCATTGCCCTTGGCGAGGATCCCGTCCTTCGAGACTCAGTCCAATAATGCAATATTAAAAATTAAAAAAAAATCGGATAGGCACTCTCTCCCTCTCCCTTCTGATGAAGGACAGTGTGCTTTTTCACCATCAAGTTGGCAATTGAACTTAGTTGGATGACTCTATTAATCCTTTTGAGCTCCAATCGATATGTTTACACATTGGATAAAACGAACATTTTCCATACATTTTTTCTTCGTTAATTTTAAATGAAAATTTCGCTCATCCTCGGAACCTTCTTGGTTCATGAGGTCGACCTGGGTCCTTGGACGCGATCGGATGTTTCTGCTCGGCAACCGCTCGTTGAAAGCGGTCACCGCTCGTCGAAAGCGGTCACCGCTCGTCGAAAGCGGTCACCGCTCGTCGAAAGCGGTCACCGCTCGTCGAAAGCGGTCACCGCTCGTCGAAAGCGGTCACCGCTCGTCGAAAGCGGTCACCGCAATGCCAATGGGCTTTCGTCTGGCGCCAACGAATGATAAAAGACAGCACTCGTCATGCATCAGCCTTTTCACGAGAACTGGGAACGGGACGAGCAATCTGGTATTGTGAGAGAGATTGGATAGGATAGAGAAACTCTGTACGACCTGACAGGGAATAAGGTTTGTATAGATCAGAGAAAAGAGCAATTATGCCACTATTTCCAATCATCTAATGGAGGTAAGGGAGAAGAAGAAGAAGCAGCGTGCATGTATGCCAGCCGGGAGAAGGCCTCCTATCCTTTTTTTCTTCTTCTTCCCAAAGGGAACATGGACCTCTCTCTTGGTCGATTTCTTCTCATGCGCACAAATCGTCTTTTTCCCTGTGATTTTCTTCTCCTTCATCCTCTGCTTTTTTTTGTTGGCTTCTGCCTTTTATCTGCTATCTCTCCCCCCGAACGCCCTCGAACTGATTCGATGAACGTCATGCAAATTGTACCCATAATCGAGTTCCGCCAGGCAAACAGTAGCTACCATCTTTTATGGGTTCGTTGCAATTTTTTTTTCCTATGAGATCGACATTACAAAAAAGGGAAGGGTATCCATGGCTAACTAAATACGACCCTGAAGGTGTGAGAAGTAACGAGGGCAGATGAAGTGCAACCGTACCAATTTCAGGAGGGACCACGTGTTCTTCTGTTTTCCCTTCCCAACTCCATCTGCATAGGAAACGAAATCAGGATCATGTGATTAACGAGAGGAAATTGATAAAATTACAGAGAGTGAACTCTATTGCGTTGGCAATCGTACCAGGATCCGCCATGTTCAGGCTGGTCGTTGAACCCTCGAGATCGCGCACTGCAGAAAAATAAAAAAAAGAATAGAAATTTCCATGACTGCAATAAAAATCCTCACGAAGGTATTTGTATTTTTGACGGAATAATCCCGAACCGGCGGATGCGAGCAGAGACTTCTTTTGTGTCAGAAGTTTGGAATAGACGAGAAGATCCCCAGGGCAGATCTGCATTGGGGGAATCACCACGATGGAATTGCTTCGATGACGAGACGTCGTCAGACTGTCGCCGCTTCCACTCGATCTGATTGCATTCCAAATATAAAAAAAAAACTGATTTTCTCAGAAAATCCTCGGAAGGGAGAATGGGAAACACGGACAGGAGTGTGTTGGGAATGATCCCCGCCGCCGCGGGAACGACTGGTCGTTGATATTCAAAGGACGCGTCGTGGCGACTATGTATGCATCGTATAAAGAGGCTGGGGGATTGGAATGCAGGGGATGAATTCCTCCATCCTATGGGGATCCCATTCTCCACCTGCACCTCTGTCCTCCCTATTCCCTTTGGCGTGACAGAAGCAGAATCCCTGGGATCGACAGACTCACTGTACACATCCCTTTCCAACTTACCCAAAGTTCTTCGTTTCTGCTCCTGTCGTTTTTCGCAGAGAGGGACGCCAGGGACCGATGCGGCTTTCTTTCGTTAGAGGGTGAGACCTGTCCTCTTTTCTTTCCGTATCCTCTTTCTTGCCTTCTTATCGTGTCTGTGTCAGTCGTTCTTTTTCATTTCTTTTTTATTTCTTCAAACCTTAAGTTTTCTGGACGGCTGTCAAGCTCTTAACATGGCACTCGCAAGACATACGAAACAGGTAGAATTCGAGACGAACAGCGCATAATTGCCTCCACGCCACTCCAGTGCACGAGATATTTGGTGAGTGTGCACACGCCCACCTCCCATGGATCGATAAAATCTCGTTCCCAGGTAAATGTGCACATAATAAGGTGAGAGGAGGCTCAGATGCGATTTCGTCTCCTTCGGGAATCTCGACGAAACCCAACCGAGGAGAAAGAGAGAGAGATATTACAGGGGTATTCAAAGGTCTACGATTGAAGAGGCATGTGGAAATCCTTTCACCTCATGAATATTCATCTTTCTCTCCCCGGGGAGTGATGAGGAAGGCCCATAAGTGGAGGGAGGGCCCTCCCCACCAACCGGGATCCGGATTATACCTCTTCAATCCACTTTCCCACATATAGTTCTCTTCTCTCCCCCTCTTTACATTTCTCAGGTGTCCTCATTCGAGAAGCGCAATACACGAGGTCCTTTATTTGGTTCCAGCTAAAAGGCCGAGGGAAAGAAGGCTTTTGACTCGCGTCCATCCCCATATTTATCCTCTTACACTCCACTTCGAGCCTCTAGAGAGGATTCGGAGACCTTCAGAAGTGGGCACTGCAGGCGACAGAAGGCAGCCTGCATGAGAAGCTCAGCCCTCGACCTCCTCGCCTTCCAACGACGCCGAAGAATATAACATTTCGGGGGAAATGTATGTTTTTACGATGCTTTTCGTAGCATAATGATGATGGGCAACGTGCGTCAGAGTTCTTTAAACCCGTTATGGTTTCCAAGAAAATTCATTCAACGAGTCGGTGTTGTTCTGGTACAAACCAACCGCGAAAACGAATGCATTCGATTCGATCTGAAGCCTGTCGCCCGATAGTAATTATTGCGTACACACACCACTGTGTATTATTGGACCACCCATTAGGACACACCCTTATAATCGAGTGTATCGTGTGCCTGGGAGTCATGAAAGTTGCAGCGGACTTCTTGAGGGGAAATTCCCCCCCTTCACGAAGGAGGAATCATCACGCAAAGTTGAAGCACTAAGCAGGCTTATCCCCTCCATTAGCCTATCATCCATCTTTCCGGGAAGGGGTTGACTTTAAGAGTTCAGCAGGTCGCTACACCTCGTTCATGCTCTGAGTGGGTGGAATGAAACTCTTCCATCAAAAGTTCCACGGAGATTCGTTTTCTCGTTGCTCGTGTTTAGTCACAGGTTCACACGGCCAGGATTAATAGGTGAAATTTGGTTTCGATATTTGGGTGGGATTCATTTATTTGGGTGTCAGACTTTGGGTGGCCTCCCTTTCCTTTGGAACGGTCGATGCTAATTGCAGCTGATAAGGCTTCTCATTTCGCCCACGAAATGAAGTCACGAGAAATGAAGTCAAGCTATGCATTATGGCAAATGCTTCGATTTGCTTCGTTCGTTTCGAGACGGATGGAAGATATGGTGCTTGAAGAAAAATACAGAGTATACCATTCTCGTCTCTGCAAATTCTTCGGCTATGGTTCACGAGCAATGGCCTGCGATACTGTTAAACTCTTTCATGGTTAGTGGTACAGAAATTGTACCACCATCTTTTAATGTATTGAAGCATGGTGGTACAATTAATGTACCACCTGTTTGTGATGTTGTTTTGAAGCAGCATGGTGGTTTATTTCCAGAATCACCTTGTATTACTCAAATAAATGTATCATAGTAAACAAAAAAATGTAATCAAAGACACATGCAGTAAGGGATTTTTCCCCCCTGAAATTGTTGTGCATGAGTTATTACCTGTAGGTAAGCTCCAACGGACAGATGAGTTACTTTAAACGGTCCCGTCCGATCAGAAAACAAGAATGTACATCCCCGACGAGGGTATTCTGCATCGCTCGGCCGTAGCAATAGCGACGTTGTTGCTTGCACGGGTGCCCTCGCGATCCAAACAAGCTGGACGAATGACATCATTCCCTCCAGCCAATCCTAACTTGGCTTCGGGTGGATGATCGTAGTAACGACAGCAATTGTGAATGACTCGCATCGCGAACCCACTTGCTGCCCTTGGATCGGGGCCAAAAAGGGTAGTGAATGAAAAAATCCGTCCTCGGGGAGCGCCATTGTCCAGCGTTGGACTCGAAAGTAGATTCATCAAGCACTGCTGTTTTTTTCGATCGTATCTTCTGCTTGGAATAATAGACTCGGCGTCCGAGGCCCGCCGGCCCAAAACCGAGCTAAGGATCACGACCCTACAAGCAAGAAATCGAGACATCCGGGCCAAAGAGACTCATTCTCGGTTCATACTGGAGTCCTTCGTGGTCCCTTTGGTTCCTTCGGCTTCACGTTTTGCTGCAACGAGCGTCCAGGTGGCATTTGAATTTTCGTTAAAGGTGTTTCATTCAACATTCAGAATGGCTCTTGGATGGAGACCACTACTGACTGCCTTGTCCAACATCGAGTCGATGGTTCGGGGTAGTTGGCAAAAGAAAGAGAAGAGTCTCTTTCGACGTTGAAGGGAAGCAACTCTCTTCGACCACACGATAAGCACAATCTTCGGAAAGATGAGTGCAAGCGTTAGTTAATTTTTCGCAGCTACTCAAGCCCATCTTGTTTCACTCATTTGTTCACTACACATCTGCTTGATCCCACGATGAGCCGCGAATCAACAGGTCTCATGTCACCACAGACATCATAAATCCTGTCCGCTAGAAATCCCCAGTGTCATTTGAATGATATAGTCCTCTTGGTCCTTGAGCTTCCGTACACTTCCGAGCGGGTTCTGCAGTTGTGCATATCCAAACATCATCTCTCGGCATCTCTCGCCATCTCTGTCACCTTCACACCATTCGTATCCGGAGTAAGTGGGGGACAATAAATCGACCTTCAAGTGGAAAGACCCTATTGTCCGCGTGTCACGCTTCATTCTCCCTTTTACAAGCATCTATTCGGAAAGAGATCCTTGGTGTCAACGGTCGTTTGCTGGGTTCGTCACGTTCATGGATATAAATGAGAAGGAATGTCGTTACGACGCTGGAACGACCGTGCGAATAGAGCCCACTATTTCCTCGAGTGACGATGGATGTGAGCTTGGCGTGACACCCGACCCCAAATTTTCATGCGATGATGATAAGGTAGGGAAGGAAAACAAACGTCCTGCGACAGGAATTTTCTGTCTTTCTTCCTTTAATAGCTGCTCGAGCGCTTCATTACTTCTCGTCTCCTCTGCTAGTGGGCCGCTAATCCTGACGACGATGATTCTCCAGCCCAAGGATTGCTTTCACGAAACTTAGAAACCGAAGAAATCCAAGGGTGAAGTCGGTGTGATTTGAGAGTAACCGTAGGGAGTCTTTACCGATGTTGAAGTCGTTCACTTTCGATGTGTGGGAATGAGAATCAGTACTTTCCACTTCCAAATATACTTTGTACTTGGGAGAAGAAAAGGACGTGAACGTTTATTTCTTTTTCATTCGAGAGTCATGTCATTCTTGCCATGCAAGAATGCAGGCGAAACGCCTAGATATTCACGGGTGCACGAGTCAAAATCCTTTGGTCAAAGTTAGCTCTCGTCTTTCCATTGGGAATTTGTTCGAGCCTCCATATTTTACAGCAAGCTGCTCAAGTATTGTCGAGTACAGCTTGCTGTACTCGACATTCTGGATACACATCCCGCCTAATCAAGCACACTGACGTCACAATGGAACCATCGTATCACCACACGTGACATTACATGGCGCACTCCAGATTGGGATCTTCAAATTACGTAAAAAGGATACCTGAGCGAGGTGCCATGGAGTAGAAGTGATGCAGGGACGTTTACCCTCATGAGTGGCCTTCGCAGTAGAGCGTTGTCCACGGAGGGCAAATTAAGTCATCTTCTCTCTTGATCGCCTTAGGTTTTTCATGCTTGAAAATTTTGTCAACAAAAGCATTGATCCCCAAACATGAACTTCACATTTTCAGGTGCACTGCATCTTTACGAATGAAACTTTACTGATGTAGCGACCTCGAGAAACGGAGGAAGTACACTAGGATGATTGAAACCTATGCGTGAGCGAAAACGTGATTCGTGGGAATTGTGGGATGGGAAGTTGCATGGAAAATGCCAACTTTCCATTATAGGATTTTTTTTCTACCATACTGTGATATTTTATGCCCTACAACCGTTCCATTTCCAGAGAGCGAGCAACGAGGTGGAATGGCAAGCTCATAACTTTTTCATTGGCCTAATGAAAGATACACCCACGAGTCGGAGCGACAATCGAGCCCCTTTCCTCATCCTGAACAGATCTCCTGAACGGGTAGTCGTCCTATCCGACAGCGGATCCGATGCGAGTCCAAACTGCCTATGTTCAATGGCCGGCACTGGACGTTCAATTGGTGCTGTGCCACTTTGCCTTCGGAGTGGCAAGGAACATTCATGATGGTGCCCTTAACCATCATCTCTCCACGTGCGTCTGCGTCTCCCCTGGGGTTCTCATGGGGGGGGGTATGGGTTTTAAGTCTTCATCTTTTATTGGGTTGGTGTCTGATCGACTTCGGACGTTCACGGTACACGAAAAGCAGCTCTCTGAAGCCTTAGGTAAAATTCCATTTTGTGGTTCTCCGTCTGGCCGACACCGTCATTACCACGAGTCGACGCACGAGCAGGAACATGTCTTTGATTCTCCTTGTTGTGCCATGAGACAACATATGGCAAATTGAAGAGATGCATCATGCTTTGAATTTTTTTTTAGAATTCCAGCATAGATTGTTACTCGTGTCATGCGCATCGAGTAGTCCACGTTACCTATCTAGCTCCCCCCCTCCTCCAAACTGGTTTATTATTATTATTAAAATTGACTGTTATACAGATTTTTTTTTACTCCCTTTGAGCTATGGACTTATGTTGATCGAAATCGAGATTTAGACCAGGAAGGATCAGTGTCATATCGAGGTTGGGAAAGTCAATTGAGATTTGCCATTTTTTGAGAAAATATACCGTTCCAAGAAAAATAGATTTTTCCTTTGAAAGCATGCCCTGAAGGCTCCTCCTTTTGCCTTATTCCATCTCTATGAAAGCAAGCCCCAAAGGGTGCTCCGTTACTTTATTCTATCTCCATTTCTTCGAAAGCAAGCCACGAAGGCGGTTCTGTTTGTCTTATTCCATCCTTCATTGAACTCTTTCCAGAGGAAGCCGGGTGAATTTGACTCGATCCGAAGAGGATTTTCTCATGCCGGGAGGGTTTGGAATCCCTGAATATTTTAGCAAGTCAAGAACATGAACCTAAATTCTTTAAGCGAAGTAGTCAAGGCTCTTACCCTCTGGAAGAGCGCTCTTTATCCCCGGACTCCTCGTCCCCTTCTCCATCGGGTGGAAACTTAGGAGGGAGAAGGGCTCGTCTCCTCGAGGTCAAGGCGGAAGGGGATGGCATCTCCTCGATCGTTTCGTCCCCTTCCTCGTCCCTTTCCCCTATGCATCCTTCCCCTCCTTTTCCCCCTCCACCTCCACCTCCTCCCCCTTCCTCCTCCACGCGTCGACGGAATCCTTCTTCGCCCTCCGCTCCCTGCAAATGCCAGACGAATGACAAATCGCGAGCACGATCACAGATGCGTCAAGAGAACATCTTTTTAGCACTCCACGAAAACGTTGCAGTTTCGGGTTAGATGCATACCGTATCTCTGTTCCATCGATGGCCTATCGACACGCTCTGAGAAAACACAGGGCGGCTGCAGCAGGAAGGGTGACTGACTCAGGAATTTATTTTATTCTTTTATTTTCTGAAGGCCACCGACATTCAGTTTAGATTGCGGGGTCATTCCATTTTGTTGCACGGCAATGTTCTTGCCTATGGCTCAAGCACCATGAGCTAAGAGGACTGCACGATTGCTTCATTCTGCAGTTTTAAAACCACGAATTCTTGGTCCTAGACAGAGAACCTGGCAGCGTGCTCCTGTCCATTGTGAAGAAACAGATATTAATTCATATCAAGTTTCTGCTTTCTGGCTGTCTTTCGGCAACATTTCCAAGAAAAATAGGGCGCATGTTTCCTTCCCATTATGGAGCTATCGTATTACTTCATATTTGAGGGCACATGGGAAACTTGGAATTTATGAGGCAAAGGAATTCCGGAGATGAAGTGTTCACGTGTCTTCCAGAGACCACAAGGAGGATCATTTCCACGTGTCAATCATTTCCTGATTGAATTTCCCGGTGTTCCTTTTCTTTCCTTCCAGCGAAACCACTATCGGTGATTCGAAATTCAATTCACCATCGCCGCCTGATATCGTTTTCGTCTGGTACTTAAGCAAGGTCTTCCTCACGAAGTCCGTGATCGTTGTGCCATCGGCTGTCGATGAGAGGTCGTCACCTCTCAGAATGAGGAAGAGATCTGTTCGGCCAATTCGAATGCGATATTTCGTGCCGCGGTTCTCGGCACGAATATTCTCCTTCATTATTTATTTCCCAAGGGGCAGTGTCACGCCCTTCACCAGTGGTCTAATTTCTCTGAAGAGGAATAATCCCAGATCTGGCTCTCCACCCTTTTTTTTTCTCTCTTCCTTTAGCCCCGCGTTACCAAAACTTTTTGTCCTGGATCGTCCCTCAAGAAGAGACCACTCGATCGCGCCTCTCTTCGATCAATGAGCGAGGAAGATGTCCGCATATTGCTTCTTTCACTTTTCAGTTTCAGAGCCTCCGCCCCTTTAATTTATAAATAAAGGAAGGCCAATGTTGGCCCCACGACCGATCTGCTTTGTATTTTCAGTACTGGGGGAGAGGGAACATAAGAACTCAGAAAATCATGGTTTTGGTCCTCACATAATCTTATCGTCAAAGAACGTCTGCAACTCAGCTTCTAAAAATAAATATGAAACCAAAAGGTTTCCATAAGACCATCTCACCGTCTGGGTATCTGAGATCATTCTTACATACTTGGCAGGCAAGTAACCGGTAACTAAATACACATGCAAGGAATTTAATTTAATTTGGTTTGGGGAAGTTACGCGAAATACAAATATATCTTATACCTCGTACACGTATATAAACGTATGTAAGGTGTAAAAACCATGTTTTACAAGGTGTTTCTGTATCAAGCCCGGATTTGTTTTTCGAATAACTTTTTTCGTACTGCACTGTTTCAGCTCGTTATGGTCTCATTCAAAAGAGCATGGTTTCCCATTTTATGCGCACTTAAAAGTTTTCGATTCATACAGTATGAATACAGATACGGTAGATGGCGCAAATACCACATTTTCCAGTCTTTTTCGGGAAAAAGCGAACATTTTATAAGCTTGAATGCAACAAAAACACAGACAACTCTTACAAAAGGTCCAGTCCCCTGTGGATTTGGAACCAGGTTGATGTCCCGCTAGGCATTATTTCCACCTGTCGTAGCGATGTCCACCAGGGGGAAAATCCACCGGGAGGGAAAATCCACCTGGCTCGAAACACATGGGCGCGAATGGAAAGGTGGATTTCCACCTGGTTCCAAATCGTTTTGTTAGGGAACACGAGTGGAAGTTAATCATTGCAAAGTTGGTCGTGCAGGATTCGGAGAACAGACGACGGTGAGGTCGCGAAGGCATTGACGGCGCGACGGATAGACATGTACACATCATCCCGGAACGCCTGGCGCACTGTAGCGGCAACTTTCCCTTCACGAACCGTTCGGCAGCCAGTCCTCTTGTCGCACAAGATCGTAAAAGTCGCGAAAAACTTCTCATACCATTCTTTGATCGCTCTGTGACCGGGAATAATCGCACTTCTGCCGAAATGTCCACGAAAACGGAGCTGAACGGTGGTTGCACTCAGAGTCGAGTCGTACCAACAAGCACAATGTGCACGTTCTTGGATAGAGAATTGAGGCATTTTCAGATAAATGCTGAAATAACACGACGAATTTAGCCACAAACGAGCGACGAAACAAGGCAGAGAGAATGGTCGAGTGAGCTGTCACAGAGACGTATAACAAACTGAGTGGTGTGCACGCCAACAGAACTCTCTCAGCACTCACGGCATCAATCGAAAAATTTCAAAGTGCGAATAAAATGGGAAACCCTGCTCTTTCGAATCAACGAGCTGAAAAGGTGCAGTACGAAAAATGTTATTCGAAAGACAAATCCGGGCTTTATACAGAAACGCCTTTCACACTTGGGCCTATATTTCGATGTTTACCTCTTGCTTCAGAGGAAAACTTTGAAACATGTCCAAGAATGCCAAGTGTTATCAGCGACTTTGTTGGTTTAGTTCGTAACATACCTGTACCCTGGCTCACTTTCATTTGACTGCCCCTTGTATTTGTATATAAGCATAAAGGAATGATATGGTATCAGATGATGAGATCATCACCTTTTGTTTCCGGGTAATTCGTGCTCCTAGCTACATTTCCTTGCAAATAAATGAACAACGTGAGAACCCAAAACATGGCTTTCCGTGTAACCTTTCGTGTTCCTTCCCATCAGAGGGGACACGAAGCAGTCGATAGTGGGCGAAATTTTCGTGAGAAAATCGGGTCAAGATCGACCCTTGGTAGCTCCTATCCGCTGTGCTGCTGATATTGAGGGAAAATATCCCAGAAAGGAGAGGACTGACTAGAGCAACTCGGTTCATCCTCAGACGTGTCTCGAGTGCCATGTAAGCAAGATATAACGTGGATCTTGCACCTCGTGTCGATCGGAGGAGAGAGCCGGTCCTCGATGCGATCCACTTCCTACCGACTCTTCGTCCTTGGACCGCAAGGTACTAAAATATTGATGAATATGGATCGGATATGCCATTTCTGGACTTCACGATAAAAACCCTCGGACAAAGGAATTCATATGCAAGTTGAGAATCCAGGCATTTATTTTTTCAAGTTTTTCGAGCTGCATGTGCTAAACAGCACCTTGTCCTATGGATGTGTTTGCTGTTCTCGGCGATTTCATAAAAGGAATTGGAATCCAAGATTTTTATTCACAGTTGGAATCCGTTGCCAGGAACGCACGAAGTCCCTTCCGGTAATGAGAATATAGGCTTACGTCGAATTCGGATGAGTTTTTTATTTTTATTTCGAAGAGTAGCTCATATGTTGCAATGAACATTTCAGCTTCCATATCTATGCAATTTATGGACGCCTAGAAGAATGCAGGGATTCCCTTTAAAACCTCCAGGAATATCTGGCACTGTACTCTCAGTCTAAAATACGATGTCATTATGAAGACCCGAGGAGACTTATACCCTGCTATCCCAAAGAAAGATATATGAAAGCATAGGCTTTTCGCAACGATCGAGGTACGAATGCCTATGGAGTCTCTTATTGAAGACAAGGGGAACATCCTCTATGGACTTTTATGAAGTCCTAGCTTTTTTTTAACTTCTTTTTTTAAATACGAAGTATACTGTACATGGCTGATTCCCTCGTCGAACGAGGAAAAACATTTGGACGTGTTTGCCTTTCCCAAGATCATCACGACCGCAGAATTCCATTCATGTTTATATTGGCCTCTACTCGCCGAACAAGAAGGTCCTTCAGAGAACTTGCCTCTCTCTCGCTTCGGGTGTTTTGGAACCATCTGTCATAGAATTCCTGCGACCGACGGAAACGGATCGCTGCGGATCGAAGGTAGGGTAAAACGGGAAAACTCCGGCCCCCGAAAGGTCCAGTCAAACTCACGAAACTTGAGGTCGATCCGACCTTAAAGTGCGTGCTTTCGACCGAACCTTCAGGCTTTGCTCTTTTGTCCTAGTTCGCATCGCTGGGAACACTTGGCGAAGGGAGATAACACAAGAGATAACTCACATCGCTGGGAACACTCGGTGATGGGAGGTTGATATATGGTACGTCCGGGCCTCGTCCAACATCACGACTCCTCACCAGACCTGTGGATGGATGCGGTAAGGCACCTTTTTCATTTCTTTTTCCTTAAAATCAGGCCAAGCGTTAGGGGTCGATTAGAAGAGAGAGGCATGTAATGGTGTGGCATGCGGGGGCGTTCATGAGAAATGAGACGCTGGATCCTGGTTACCATGGTTACCATCCATGTGCTTCTGACCTGTCTTCCCACTGCGGAAAAAAAATAAGCTTCTTCCTTCCTATTTCTCAGGTCCATCAGGAGCAGACAAAGACAGGCTGCTCTTTCTTTTTTTTCCTTCCCAAAATCCCCTTTCCCTTTTCTTCCATCTTCCCACAAATCGATTCCCCATTATTACGCCTCGATCGTGGGCGCTTTAAAATCCCGTTTGATTTTGCATGAAGAGACGTCATTTCTCATTACGGTCGACTGGAAATCGGCCTCGACGGCTTGCCGGCGGTGAAATTCCACTCCAGAGTCCATATACATCCGAAGCTCCAAGTTTCCCAGGACGTGCTTGGAATGAAGACGGGAAGCAGCTCTCCTCTGTTCCCTTTGCGATCGCTTCATTTACAGAGACTTCTTCCCGCTGGAATCCTCACATCCGCTACGAGTCGGTCACGCGAAGCCAGATTTTAATATCGGGGATGCGAAAGGAAAGAAGAAGCATAGGCGAAGGGCCGCCTATGGAGAGCCGGGAGAAGTGAAGGGGTGCCTATAGTAAGCCTGGAGAGATGCGGACCCAGGAGGCTCTCGTAATGAGCGACTGAGTAAACCCTCCCGGCGGGATATCCCTCGCAAATAAAAAAGCCATAAAACAAACCTATGTAAACCCTCCGTTGCAGAGGGATAGCCATATAAGCGTCCGTATACTCCACTTTGATGAACGGGGTTGTTATAAGGAAGCCATCCAATTTCCTTCAGGCGTAACTTCGGAAGGGACTGTCGGATGCAGCTGGAATTTGACAGAGGGGTTGATGGGTCTCTATGGACTTTTGCTACACCCGCCAGATGGCGGTACATGTCCATAGGCGGTATAGTCCATAGGATGGTGGTACATATCCTAGTGCTGTCGCACATGCAAAGGCAAACAATGGAGAGGATGTATAAGCTAAATAATGGAGTACGTCACTCGCACCATTCCAGGCAAGATGCCGAAGCTCACTGTGGAAACGCGTCGCATTGAGTCGTTGTTATTGCCAAAATGGAAATTATAACCAGCTCTCTGTGCCTATCAGACATAACGGAATCTCGTCATCGGATCATGCTATCCCCAGACGGTATCAAAGCTTGTGGCCCTATTCGTAGAAACTGCGAAAGTGGAAGATTCAAATCGTAGTGGTCGATCATCGACTTGGGTTGATTGATGTCCTCCCATCATGGTTATCATTTATATCCTCTCTTCGATGCTTACATTTCATGTTATCACAGGGCCCTACTGTATGTCTGTAAGCATCGCCATCTAGCGGGCATGATAGAAAACCCTAAGCACCTTTAATAAACCAGCTGCATAAAACTGTCTCTTCCAAAATTATGAGGAAACAACAGAGGATGATTTCTCTAATACAACTCTGTACTTGATTCCGTTTTGGACCGACCTTATCTGTCCTTTCACGCAGGGCCAGCGAGAGATCGACCATCACTCATGACGTCACAGAGGGAAAAGTTGACCTTCGGAGTCTATCAAATGTCACCCAGTGCCTTTCTTCTCCTCCCTTATCCCCATTTTCCCTCTTCCCCTTCAGCACGGGATCGGTAATGGCCAGGACATAAATGATGACAAATCGCACGAAACTGGATGTCCCTCTTCCCTCTCACACCCGTTGGTCGTCTCGTTCACCCCGAGAACCTTTCGGAGGAATGACGTCATCGCGCGATATCTCTCCATCGATGGCCCTCTTTTAAACACGATGGAAATATCGCAGTACATGCAGGATGGGGGGGATTGAGGGAGACAGGTTGGAGGATGACAAAGGATTTTTTCCACATCCTCGCATTCCTTCCTGATGGAAAATGCGACGGTAATCCTGCCTTTATTTTTCTTCCTTCTTCCAGCCCAACCAATTTTCTCCTGGATTATCCTCTCCATTTTTTCTCTCCCCTTAAAAATAAGCTCCCCTGACATTGCAAGAGACCATAATGTAGTTCATGGGAGAAGAATTCAAGGAATTTTTTTCTTTATGAGCCTGATCTCGATATCCTCGTCAGCGACGATCTACGGACAAAGAGCCTAATGGGACCAGAAGAATGATATAGAATTTCTCCTTCTGATCCCTTTTCGTCGTTTGGAGACGAAATGGGTCCATTCTCCATTCCAATGGGGTAGAAGAACCAATTATATCCAGCCATTCAGTAGCCCCTCGTCCCCCGTGTCTTCATCAGTGGGATGAGGAAAAAAAAAACCCTCGTAGTCTTTCGGGCGAAGAAAATTTTGATGGAATTTCCTGGAATATCTCTTCCGATGCCTATCTTGTCATCGAGAATACTATTATTCCTTTTTGAAACTGCGGAATGAGAAGGAAAATAAATATATTCAATATGGCCGTGTCCGTATTAGAACAGGGCTACCGACTTTTTAAAGGAGTCGAAATTACGTTTTCAGTTGAATAAAGTGTCGATTCCAGTAATCATTCCAATGAGAATTAATAATGTTATTATACTATAACTGGATAAAACAAAAAAAACTCAATTCCGATTCCTATTTTCCCTCTTGAATGGGACAGTGCCTTGGTGCTAATTTTGCACGATGACCAAAAGGAAGCCCCAAATTTTCTCTTACAGCTAGTGAAACCGAATGAAAGCGAAAATAAAAATAAAAAGGAACATTCCATACTGCCGGTGCAAGGATGAGCATGTATTCCGAGACAGAGATACAGGTTAGAAACCGGCGGAACCCGTAGCATGATCCAGACAGTTCGGGGTTGAGAGCCGGTGACTCCTCCCTCCCCTCCCCCCCCCTCCCCTCCTCCACGCGCCGCACCTTGAGTCTGAACGTGGCGCGTTGAAGGTCCCCGATGGTGAAAGTTCTTCAACAGGTAGCGTAAAGCGATACCTTTGGAGCAGCCTCTGAGGCCGAATTGCGTCTCGGGGGAGAGAGCACAATGGGCCTGCGGTGAAACCGAGCGTCTGGCGTCAGCCAGCCGAAATAATAATCACAATAGCGGTAAATAATAATAAATACCATAAAGCCGTAAGCGTCTGGCTTCTGCCTGAAAGAGCGAGCCCCTCTTTCTTCGGCCTTCGTGGATCGTTCTCGAAGAAACCCCGCAACTGACGCTTCCCATCGTTTCCTATGAAAAACTTGAAAGTCCTGCGACTGTCATTGTGGAACCGTAAAGGAAGCACGGAGGGGAAGACCTCCAACCCGGAAGATTGCTCGGGTAACCTACTCTGCTTTAACAATCGCTTCTCTGGGGACTGAAGCATTACGGCCTCTGGCAGAATCCTTTTTTCCTCTTTACTCTGTACATATACCGCTACGCATTATTTGGAGCTCCAGAAGTAATGTGCAAGGAAAATGAAAGTTCTTCCGGTTTCGATGAGGGAAAAAATTACTATCAACGAACTGTTCCGCTCTGGAGAATAGAAAGAGTGAATGTGAGGTCTTTTTCAAGAACAACCTGTATAATGTATTCATTATATTGAATATAGAATAACATTCTTGTTAGTATATGAAGCCTCAATTAATATTGCTCTAGTTCGAGTACCGATATTACTATCTCCTCCAAATAATTTTTTTTTCTCCACAAGGAGATGATGCAGGGGAAAAAGTTAGAAACCTCCACTGTAGATGGTAAGTCGCCTGCCATCGTGCGCCTTATCACCGGGATTGCACAGGTGACAAGGGGGTTCCAGAAGGTGACACGAGTTGCACTGCGTCTCCCTGTCCGAGTCCGCGGGCTCGGGTTCGTCCAAGGTCGTAATGAGGAGATCCGGTGGTGGAGGGCAGCTCCGCATCTTCCCGCCCTCCAGCTCCGCCGTGATAACGAGTGGGAGGGCACCTCACACCCAGATAGATTGTAGTCAGGAGGCTGCACGGGCACTACTGACTCCGAGCCCCCCTCCGTCTCCCGGTAGAAATCAATCTCCTCCCTCCTTCCTTCCTTCCTTTCTCTGACTGCACTGTAGAAATCGAAGCACCCGCCCCTTTCCTGCATGCGCCCTCTCGAAAAAGGGGAAAATAAAGGAAAAGAAGGACATGCCGGGGGTTTATCTCGTCCGCGGTCTCGACACGCACGCCATCCTTTGATTGACACCTACAAATCCCCTAGTCGATCTTCGTTTGTCCGCTGATTCTGCTCGGATCCCGTCTATCCTCGATGGCGCCACTCTTAAAGCTCGATATCCTTCGCCTCGTGCTTTCATCAACTTTCCAGCCTTAACTGTAAGACTGACCTCGAAAGAACGTTACTATCGACCCAGAAATATGGGAGGCGGTACGATTGCTTGATCAATTCCAGTGTTATTCACGTTCAAACAAGCTCATCGTGACCATCGATTGCCCTCCTTTTCGAGCAAGCGGATGTGAGTAATGATGATGACAGTAATTGCAATCATTGATAGTTCCTCTTGATGTGACGGCAGGGTAGAGATTTCCTTCAAGTTTGCTCGAAGATCATTCAATGCGACTGGCAAGACCAAAGAATGACAGTTCCCAAATTTCTTTACTTTCTGCCTCTCTGAGTCTCTAAAACACCTTCGAGGTTTAAACCTCGATTCACGGTCGAGTTTCGATCGAGGACCGATCTAGGAGGTCAGAGTTCCTGACCGAAGGAGTGACAAGGCATGTATCACGTCACCAGGGGTTAAGCGACACGTAATGATAGAGGGAAGAAAGGAAGAAAAAAAAAAGGGGGCTGGAAGGGAATGCTACAGGAGGGATATCGATTCCGCGGAGGGCATTGCATGCAAGAGACGTTCTTCAACCCTCAAGACACACATGTTGCTTTTGCGTGTCCATCCATCCATCACCTGATAAGCATTAATAATCATCTCTTTCTTGACAGGAGGGAACCATTATCTCACACCTCCGCTTCACGTCCTCTCCTGTCGTCTTCTCTCTGCCTTCTCGAGTTCCTCGGTTCATCTTCCAGGTTTTCTCATTTAAAATAGTTTTTTTTTTTTAAATCAGCGGTATGCCATTCAGCGATGATATTCAAGAATAATAAAAAAACTTGTATTGGGATTTCCACTTTTGGTTAATACAGAACGACGGGCTGCGAAATGCGTCTGGTACCGAGTTCATCTTCATCGAAAGATAAAGACACGAAGGACCATTCGATTATGTTATGGGTGGCTTTAAGCCGAGTGTCGAAAAGGGATTTAGAAGCAATGCAGTCGAGGACACAAAAGGCACGAAGGCGTCGCAGAAGGAAGAAAACTTTCCCTTCTATTTCCTGGGGGAAATGGAAAGAGAGAAAGAAAAAAGCTGGAAGGAGGAGTGGGGAAGAGAGAGGAAATAGTTTGATCGTTGTGACGCCTAAGGAAGGAGGAGCAATTCATCTCGGGAGGACTATTATGAAAAGGGATGGGGGGAAATCTCCATGAGGCGGTGGGAAGAGAGGAATCGATGAGAGACCGTGGATGTCCCTCTACGGAAGAATTCCCCATCCTCCTCCTTCCAGCCTCTTCCCCCAGGTGGCAGGGTCCCCCGTCCCTCTCCTTCCGGCCCTTTCCCCCATGTGGCAGAATGTCCCTCCCCCTCGAGCTCTCGCATCGATTCCAAGCCCCACCTTTGGCCCGTGACGAGATCCCAAATTTCTTCTTGGACGCATGCCCACATTCACAAGGTGAATAATAACCTCTCTCTTCCTCCGAAAGAAGGAAAAAGACAGGATTCCTGATGGAATCTCATGATGGGGTTCGCGCCATTGCTTGGGAAGCACGAGATGCAAGAACCACTTCCCTGATCAAGCCATCAATTATTTTCCCTCGAATCACCGAAAGCACCAACCATTTGGGACTTATTAAGGTTTGAATGGGAACTATATATCGGTAAGGTATAAAACTGCATGACGACCTGTTCCTCGTTTACCAGGTGGAACGAAAGAAAAATTCGCCCAAGAAGCCCTCGTGATGGCTAAAACTATTGGTATATGCTGTAAACCGGATCTGGAATGTGCAGAAATCCATTTAGACATTGGACTCTTTTTCCATGGGAATTCCATGCCTCGCCAAGCTGTCCCACGATGAAAGTGCCATAAAAGAGACAGTAAAGATATCATGTGACACTAGCCGTGACAGAAGGTTGACGTGAAATAGAAGAGGAGGAAAGGTGAGAACCATGGGATTAGGTCTATATGGCGAATATGAATCCATTTCGCTGATGAAAGTTTTTCTCTATCCCTCTCATTTTATTCTTTCTGCCCGATGACTCCTTGCGTGCAGTTAGGTATCATTACGGAAGCACATAATCAACCCTAATAGTGAGGAGATTCCTGGAAAAAAGTTGAGCTAGGCACCTTAATCCGACACGGAATAGAAAGATTTCTTTCCATTTTTTTTGGCAAATGTTAGTCGGAGAAGCCGGCTCCCTTTCCCGACAAGTTCCACTTTTTCTTCCTCATGTCAGGGAGGGAATCGGATTTGACATGAAGTCCGACTCACCTGAGAGATCGAAGCAAGTGGTGGAATGCGACTTGAGGATGTATTTCAGATGCTTCGCTGCGAACCTCCGATCCATTTCAAATCGGTGATTTGAATCGCAAATTATTGTTTATATCTGAAGAAAAAGAAAATTTTAAGAAGAAAAGGGAGAAAAGAAACGCAGTCGAATCGGCTCATTATGGCACGGTCCGAAGCTCCACGAGAGAAAGGTTTACTCCGGAAAAAAAAAAGAAAACTCCAATTAAATTCTATTGAATCGATGGCCCTTCATTGCAGATCGTGGAGGAATTTCCTCGAATCGGGAAAGATCCTGGAACGGACGGATAAGGAGTGGTCGATGGCAAAGTTTCCCTCGCAAACTGCACTGCAATTCCTAATTAGTTTCACGGCAGGGATCCTAGCAGTCGATAGAGGGGGGAGGGAAGGCAAAAAGAGAGGCTCAACCTTTTCTTCCTCTTGTTTGCACTGCCAATAAAGGAGGGACGATTCCCCTCCCAATGGCAGAGGACACTGTCACGACCATGCTAACAGCGTCTTCCTCACGATATGGAGTAATACAAGGGAAAACGCAACTTTCTGTTATTGGCCTCTCCCATGTGGGTACTGTGTGTCTACGACTACAGAGACATTCAAGGACTGTCTGTCTCAGACACCTGATTTAGGAAAATGGAAAGGAAGGAAGAAGGAAAGAAAATGTCTGCTATTTTTTGGCATTTTATAATGTTACTCATCAATGCATTTTTCAAGTTGAAAAGTAGCACCACCGCACCGCACCAAGCGATTGCCAAAATTATCTTAGCACTAGATGGAAAGCACCCATGTATGACGAACACAAAATGGTCTTATGAGATTTCCCGTCTATGGGAACATCCTGGTGTCCTCTAAATCGATAAATAACGTAAAAAACCGCGGTGCAAGGGATTTCAATGGTTAGGTGCGCTTTTGCTGGTTAAAGCTGAGGACTGAAGGATATTAACGGGAAATATTCTATTTACATCGTGAATGCATTGTACATCACAATGCATAATCACATTTACGAGGATCGGTGATTGAAAAATAGATGAGATTGACAAAGATAATTGAACAAATCTGCAGCATGAGGAACACTTACATGCGTAATCGTAGGGCATGATGAACTGGAACGTTTCTATTTGGTCTCCTCCACCCAGACGCATCATCAAGAAAAAAGAAGAAACTTCCAAACACAAAGGAAAACTGAAAGAAAAGAGAAACAGAAGAGGAAATCAAAGGGAATCCGGAAGAAAAACAAAGGTGAGACGATGACAAAAAAAAATTCAAAAGCGGAAAGGAAATGACAAAAGACAGGAGCTCTGCTCCATCTTTCAGTGATGCCAAAGCAAGAAAAGTAAAATCCGCTTTGCAAAAGCGTTCGCATGAAATGTTAAGAGGATCAGCAGGAACTACTTGTAAGTACAATGCGTCCATTACGTTGATTGAACCTCGGAAATGCTCCTGCAGTTAATCGTTAGCTCACGGTGATGGATCATTCATTATCTGGGGTCACGCAAGGAGGACTCGTTGAAAGGAAATCAGCGTGGAATCATTGATCGATTGCTGGTACTCGAATCGATCCCGACCACCCTTCGTTGCATCTCGAGATGCTCTAGGTCAGGGGTGTCAAACTCAAATCGGTCGGCGGGCCGCATTCCTTACTCTGAAGATGCCTGCGGGCCGCACCCATAATTTTCCCCCGAAATTTGTGCTAACAGATAATTCAAACAGAAATTTCAAGAAATTTCAACATACGACGGGCCGGATGAACCACCTCCGCGGGCCGGATCCGACCCGCGGGCCGTATGTTTGACACCCCTGCTCTAGGTCAATACGAAGTCCGATGTCCCAGGAAAGGGACACGAGATTAATGCCCTCATCCTCGGAAGAGGGCGGGGGTTATAGATAGGGATAAATTGATTGGGGAATCATGTCCTTGTCATGCCAGACACCCCCTCTTATATGTGTGCCCTTCCTGTTGTGTGAACGACGGGGGACTCTGTGCGAATGAGAAGAGGAAAGGGAAGAGGAAAATGGAAGCGACGAAATGGAGTGCAGGGCGTGAATGAATGAATGAATGGATGGATGTCTTCACTCATCTTGGCTGACGGCCACGAACTCTCCTCGTGGAATGGTACTATATAAAAAGAAAAAACTCTCGTCTCTTTCCTCTTCGTTCCTTGTGTCTCTCTTTCTCTCGTCGTGCCCTTCATTTCTCCCTGAATGTACTCTCCGAGCGCGCGTCGAATATTAGTCCGGTCTCACTCGCTCAAAAAGGCTTCTACCGATCATACTCCCTGTTTCTGCGTCTGATATCTCGTTTATTATTTTGATTTCAGTCAAAACTACCATCGTACAAGTATGTTTTTCTCTGAGGCCTTGTCAAGAGGAGAAAGAATTTCTCTCTCTTGGCGCCGTTTTCGAGCTGCTGGCATCAGCGGATTGTTGTTTTTCTTTTCTTTTTTATATTGACATTCCATGACCGGAAGGAAAAAATCCTCCAACTTATGAATGGTGTGAAAGAATAGAAAGCAAAATGTGAGAGCTAAAGGAAGAGTCGAGATCCTCAGAGTAAGAGCCTGAAACTACCTAGAGCAACTCTGTTTTCAGGTTACTGAATCATAGATACGAATCCTCTCATCCATGCATGGCCGTCCCGGATATGGGAAGTCTTTGTTCTTCTCCAAGCGAAGCAAGACTCTTCAGTCATGCTCTATCGATTCGTGTCTTTCCGGAATATCTTCCTCTTGCTTTTGGCCTGCATGACCCGATCTCGAGAGGCATGTCAAGCCTGAGATAAGTTATAGCTCTCTTTCATCGAAATGAGTGTTGAGTGGAATCACGATTCACCCATCGTGGGATCATGTCGGATGACAGACTCCCAATCCTCTGTAGCAAGCCAAAGACGAAAGGAGATAAAAGAGGGAGAGGATCATCGGTTGGGAGGTGGAGACAATAAGGCGAGAAGAGGCTTTTACATGACGTGAGCTCCTCCAATGAGAGCAGAGTGATCCTCTTTTAAACGCGGGGAAATTTGACTCTCAGTGAGCATCTATCTTCTGCTGAATGAAAAAACATACCAGAATCATGTCCAATTTCTACTCAATGAACGTGGAGAAATAGAGCTTTTGTACTGGTTGTGAGGGCGAATCGCGTGCTCTCGAGCAATAGGAAACATGCTATGAAACAATTAAAACCCTTGAGCTCTCCCTTTGAAGGGGGAGAGGTAGTTTCTCTGTGTGGATTTGAGAATCCACCCAAGCTGCGGATGGAAGTGCCTGATTCGGGATGCACTTGGGAGGTGAAGCAATTCTCTTCCTACCGACATGACCCGAATATGAATGAAAGCCTAGTAGTGCAGAAAAGGAGGACCAAAAAAAAACTAGAAGGCGCTGAAGAAGAAAATTGGACGAAGAGACGATTCTACGAGAGACAAAGGCCGGCAGACTCCGGATCCTCAAGGGAAGAGTCCTCTTCATCAATGCCTGGAAGTTGCTTTCGACCGGTAGGAAGATAGCGATGAATCTCGACTTTAGTCATTGTTGCGAGTCCGGTAAAAACTAACTGAATCAGAATAGCCGAAGTACTTCTCCGTCGATCGGTGAAACTCTCGCGGCAAAGAGAATTCAAAGCAGTTTTATAGAGAAATTGTTCCACATCGCCTACGCTTTTTCTTCAGTTACGCATCAACTCCTTTTTATGATCGTAAATATCAAGAACCCATTAGCCCTTTGTCAAGAGATATGAGATGAAATCCGTAAGAAGGAATGGAATACTAAAGATGTACCGAATGCGGTGCTGCAATGCTTTGTAGTGACTGAATGGATCGATGCTCTTCATTTATGCTAATAACAGGGCAAAAGCAGGCAAGAGGAAAATAGGAGACATTACAGAAATGAGCCTAAGTTCTCATTAGAAAAAGATGGGTGCGGAAAAAATGGGACGGAAAGAGAAACTATACAAACAGTAAGAGAGAATGGATAAATAAAGGGGCAGACCTCCATATTGACATCTACAAACGGTTTACTTAACAGAGAATCTAAAGGTCTACCCTGGGCTACTACTTCCTGCTTGCTCATGTATTCAGGTTTCCAGGAAATATTACTTTAGCATTCTCTGGAATACGTTCAAAGTAAAAAATATATCTTCACATTTCTACTGACAACGAATTTTCTTTTATTCCTGCACAGCTGCAGAAATAATATAAAATTCATTGATTCCTATGCGACGGTAATTAGCCTTTTGTTCGCAATGCCTTAGTGATCATTCAACTTGAAAATTCTGTTTCATACCTACGCCTGTCACAGAGTACTCGAAATGATACCCCACGGCAGTTCACTATGTACCAAATACATTAACATCCCCCCCCATATGACTATACACAGCTTAAAGTAGCAGGCAATTGTTTAACTCCTCAAACCAGTAATTTTTCTGCAAGCATCCCACCCTTCGGGGGTAGTTTTCTTCATGAGATTTAACTGTACGCTTCAAGCGCACAGAAAATATTAATAACTCTCTTATCACTGATCTTATTTGCTTAGTATTAAACAGCGATAGGATAATGAATTTAATGCCACATTTCTTACAGATTTCTACAAGCTAACGCACAAGGCTCTGAATACGTACTCGGATACCGGCTTCAGGGGTTGATCAACAAAAGACACACTCCGCAAATTTGTTCCAGCGATTTATTCTTATTTTTTGTGTCGCATTTTCACTGAGGACCACTTCTTGCTACAGTTTCAGTATTACTTTTCCAGTTGAGTACATTGCTTAATTAAGAATATAAATTGCTGCTTGAACCAAGAATATTGTGATCTTGTCCTGTGCGGATCACAGTAAAAAAAACTTTTTTAAAGTAAAAAATTATTGAAGCTGTTTAAATATTTTTGCAGTACAGCTTCCATGCTATGAAGGGCGGACTATAACAAAATACTGGTGTCATTTGGATATACAGAGTTGGCCAAAAGAAAGGTTACACTTAGAGTTCCATGTTAAAACAACAACAACAAACAATAAAAATAAATATTGCAACAACAATTTATTGAAATACCAAAGATCAAA